GGGTAATATGCAGTCTGAGGGTAAAATGAAGGGTAAAATGCAGTTTGCAGTTTGCATTTTACACTGACCAATTATTGTTACTTTTTTAGGACATCATCTATTCTTTGAAACCTTGAGAAATCCCCCCAGGGGGAGGGGGGAGTTACTTCCAGAAAAAATTGGTGGGGGTGTGCGGCCCGCTTCCCAAAACCCTTATCCTATTTATGACCAAAATCTGCGATATTCCCTGCCCTATTTATGACCTAACCAAAACTCGAAACCCTATTTATCACCTGACCCTTAAATCAAACCCCTGTTTCAGACTTGCATTATAATTAGTTCCCTAGTCAGGCCTGCATTATAATTAGTTCCCTAGTCAGACCTGCGTTATAATTAGTTCACTAGTTAAGACCAATGTTAAATTACCGTAAACATAATTTGTGGAGGGCTTTTGTTGATTTTCTTTTTGATAATGGTGAAAAAGTGGCTTCTTCTTAAAAATATACCCATACCAAGGCTAGAGTGCAAAAACCATACCCTATTGATGACTAAAATGGCCAATATCGGCTAAAATCGATACCCTAGTTATGACCAAAACGGCTAAAAGACCATACCCTTTAGGGCCGCACATACCTATATAGCCCATATAAGGAAGTACCCCCCGCCCTCCCCTGGAGAAATCATCAAATAGAAGTGTTGTTTTTCTATACTGTCAAGGTGTATGTGCTATATGATGGCATGATGCCATGATGCCTCCTCTAGTCAGACTGCAAACTTTTTTAGTGATAAATTTCACTTTAGTTTTAAATATGCTTGTTTTGTTTTTAATTTTTACACAGTACTCAAAGGCGACAACAACACATTCACTGGGTGGAATTAGACAGCAATTCTCCTTGGCTGAAAACATTCAAATGTCACAATATAGCTTTCAGTTTCTGACAGAAATTGATCAACACTTAAGAATTGAAGGGTGTGAACCCCCTGACATCCAGCTTAACAGACAAGGTTATCTGTTTCTGGCAAGCAAGGAAGGAGAAGAAAAAATGAAGAAAAATCATGATCTCCAAAGGTTGGTGGCTGCCTTAACAATGATGAAAATCAGGAAATCAGTAGTAATTAATTAATCTAAACGCATTTGATACACTATAATTTAGAGATTTAGCAACCAAGTCAATGACATAAGGCACAGAAATACGGTTAAAGCTAGAACAAAACTCCAGGAGAAAGATCAGTAATGAACAAAATGTGGAAATCAGGAAATCAGTAGTAATTAATTAATCTAAACGCGTTTGATACACTATAATTTAGAGATTTAGCAACCAAGTCAACGACCTAAGGCACAGAGATACAGTTAAAACTAGAACAAAGATCCAGAAGAAAGATCAGTAATGAACAAAATGTGAAAGAAAGTACATTCAATTCCTGAATAAAGAAACAACAAGAAAAATTGAAATATCGTGGCTTAGATGCAGGTATGAAAATCAATGTTGTATTAAGCCGCTAAGGGAGAGTAAGATGAAGACAAAAGTGATTAATTAGTAGGCGAAAAGGTGAAGTGCTCTTAGACTTTTGACCCGGGAGGGGGGAGGTACTCCCTTATATGGGCAAAATAGGTATGTGRGGCCCCAAAGGGTAGGGTTTTTCAGCTGTTTTGGTCATAAATAGGGTATCGATTTTGGCCATTTTGGTCTTAAATAGGGTATGGTTTTAGCACTCTAGTCTTGAATTGGGTATGTTTCTTGGAAGAAGCTACTTTTTCATCATAATTATCAATAAGACCATCAACAAAAGCCCTTCATAACTTATGTTTAAAGCAACTGTGCCAGCCGCAATGGTCATAAATAGGGTATTGAATTTTTGGGCAGGTCATAAATACTCGTAGCAAAAGTCGCAGATTTTGGTCATAAATAGGGTAAGGGTTGTGGGAAGTGGGCCGCACAACCCCACCCAACTATTCTGGGAGTAGCCCCTCCCCCACCCCCCGGGACATTTGACCAGATTTTGGTTCACTGGACCCATGCATTATGTTAATGCCTCATTTTACATAATTTCAGGAAGCTAGGTTGCCACGTCAAACTTCTTTCACCCAGCGAACTCAGAGTGCAATTTCCCTGGCTCAACACAGACGGAATAACACTAGCTTCGTTGGGTAAGCATTATTTAATATTTGTATTGCATTTTAGGAATAAATCAACCCTTATTAAAAGTTGGATCATTTCATAATGCAATTCGAGAGTTTTCATTGGCTCAGCCATCATGGGTTATGAGCCATTACACCATGCTGTACAAATATGGTAAGCGTACGTGTGATGTTTTGGGGCATTTTTATTTGTATTTTAGTCTAGTTTTCTATGTTTTGGGGGCGTCTCTAATAAAACAATTATTCCACTCACGCTTGTCAGATATGAGATGATTATAGCCAACTTGGCGCTCACGCCTCTAGCTCATTGGCTATCTACCACCTCATATCCAACGCGTGCTCGTGGAATTGCTAACTGTGTGATCAATGTAATATTTCAGGTACAGGAGATGAAGGTTGGTTTGATCCATTGTCTTTGCTGAAGGCCTTCAAGAGGAAGGCCACACATTTAGGCGTGGAATACATCTCTGGAGAGGTCGTGGACTTCTTTTCAGATCTGAATGGACAAATAAGCGGTGTTAAGGTTTGAGTTATTGTATTTTATCGTACTGCTGACCAATTTAGAGATAATGTGCCAAAATTTATAAAGGCAAATTAAGATAAATGTCATTATCAAGTTTTAAACAAATAAATTTGTGGTCTTCTACCCCCCAAATCAATATATTTTTTTATAAAACAACTCTCCTCAACTCGGTTGGAATTAAAAAATGAGCTTTTCGAGGTCACATTCCACAAAAGTTAACAAAAAACTACCCCCCTAAGTTTTAAAAGCTTGTGTTCATTATAAGAACGATAACTTACTAATGCATGGCTCCAGAAGCATGGAATTAAGTTCATCCTGTCCATAACAAAGTTGTCCTCTGAAAACGGTGTTTTGAGTGTCTTTTTTTTTCTTGGAAATGGGGAAAAACCTACTGGTAAGAGTTGTAGTAATAAGTATAGCTGCCAAATTACCCCAGCGACTCCTCCTTTTTAATTATTCAAAATGGCCACCAACAAAAGTTCGAGAAAATCAGACCCTAAAGTGGGGTGTAAAAGTGGGTCATTGTGAAAAGTGGGAGCGACGGTCCCACTGAGCCCTTCTTTTTAATTTATTCAAAATAGCTGCCAATAAAAGTTCGAGAAAATTGCAAAAAGTGGACAAAATTCTGGTGCGTAAGGGGGTACTGTACTGGTGGGGCAAGGGAAAAGTGGTGCGAGAATGACGTCATGAGGAGGGGGTTTTGGGTAGCCAATCACAGGGTGCAGCATGAGGTTGAGGTTTTTTTGAGGAGGAGGGGCTGCTAGGATGACGTCATGAGGAGAGGTATGCTCAGGCTGAGGATGATGTCATGAGGAGGCTGGTGACGTGATGGGGATTCCCCCTCCTCTCCCGCCTCCTCTCCTCCATTGTGTGGGTTGACGTTGGGAGGGGATACCCCTTATTTTTGGTGATGTCACAAATGGGTGACACTCAGTAACCATGCATTTCGAAAATGTTCAGTAACTTTTCACTGAAACTGAAAATGGCAAATTGCAAACATATTTTCATTAGCGCTTTGTGTCCAGAAACTGAGGGACAAATCGAATAAGCGAAAAACAAAATTTGCTTTGACTTGTAGCTTTCAAAAGATGATTCAGACGCTCACAATTAGAGGTTGTAAAATTCTATTTCAAAATTTTTGGTATAGTGCATGTGATTGCCAGCTTAGTAAACGTTTATTTGATATAAGGGTTTATCGCTTGGACGCGAGACGCCTCTGAAGATGTAAAGTAACCTTAAAAAAAGACTTCAGCATGCAACGACTTTCCACTTAAAATAGGCTACATTGTCGATCCGAAAGTTGCATTAATCGAATTTAAAATCTGCATTGTCTGTATATAAAAAGTCAAAGTTGAGTGGTAGTGATAAGGAGCTTTTGAGTGAATTGTCTCCTTTCATGTGCATTGCACAGCTGTAGACCAGTCACAGGGTAGCAACAGTCATTATATTATATGAAATGTTATACATTGATAC